CTGTAGCAACCAAAACGTGTAAAATAATATTTCTCTTGACTTATGTGAAACTTATATGTAGCTAATAATTATACACAATAATATTATAATTATTAACCATACACAACATTATTATCGTTTAAATTATTGTTAAAAAAAAAAATACGATTGTTTATCACGTCATTTCGTATATTACTATTATGATTCACTATATATTATTATAGTAAATTTAAGAGGTACAAAACGAATATTAATTGTTGAAAAAAAAAACACCGTGTGTATATTTTTCTCACTATACGTATACTCGGGCGCTTCTTATGTGTGCAATTATATCTTTAGTCCCGGTGAAAAAGAGCTAAAGACAATTGTTGGCATTTAATTTTTTTTAATTTTTGTCCAATGCAATTTGTTTGCTTTTATTTTCGCGGTCTAAATTGAATATGTATTTTTAAAATTTAATTTGCTCGTATAGAAAACCATACAAAATTGACTTAAGCTCTCTATCTTTGGGACCAAGGTATAATATATTTTATGTTTAGAAACACTTAAAAATTTATAATAATATCATTATTTTAATATTATATTCATAATTCATAGGTATTTATATGCACCTTATTTTAGTGGTACACGAAAATCGTTGGGGTTTGTGCATAATAGTATGGCATAATACCTATATGATTATATATTTTTAATAAATAGTAGTTTTTCGTATAAAAATTGTATTGTTACGCAAACTAGGCATCTACATCGTTTCGAAATAAAATACATTTCAGAGTATTCATTTGGATAATTTGAGACGGAGGCGTTCGTGTTTTTGAAATCATTCAAACGGCTACTATATAATATTATTATATTACAGAACCTCGGGGATTTCATCGTCACGTATAATATTACGATACGAAATTTCGTCTCAAAAAATACCCTGTACTCAATTGCGCACAGTAGCGTATTTACAGAGGGGAGGGGTGTTGGGTGTTTTCGTGGCCTCATCAGAGGTATAAATTTCTAATAATATTGACGGGCTTAACGAGACGATTTAGGTGGACATGACCGTCTAAATTGCATTAATGCACACCCAACTCTCCCACTCCGAACAAATACAAAAAAAAAAACATGTCGTAAATACGCCGCTGAACAGTGTGGTTTTTTTTTTTTTGAATGAGTTTAACAAATAAACAATATTCATAAAAACAACTTACAACTTTATATAAAATAAAAGCTAATGTACACACACACATATCATATAATATAATAATATGCAATTTAGAAAAAAAAAATACCAAAAATTAGTGCACTCTTATTTTATATATAACAATAAAACACACTTTTCGATTATAATAATTAATAATTATTGTTAAAATTACATAAAAACAATTACGCCGTTTAAAATTAATCGATCTAAATTCGTTACATCAAAACTTGGTATATATTATACTTAATAAAATTATATATGTAGGTACTTCTATGACACCGTTGACTTATTAATATATAATAATTTAATTTTAACAAATTTAACACATGCGTACACACTCACACACGCTTATATACATATTAATATTTTAAAATATCAGTTTCACGATTTAGTCGTGAGTTAATAGTTTATAAATACACTACGACGATACAAATACGTATACGTAATAATTACAAGAGCTGAACGAGTAACATTAATTTTACTGCAGATTATAAGTTACTAATAAGTTACTCTAGTTAAGTATTTTCCTTATATTTTCTTGAAAGTTGTATACTTTAAAGAACAAAGAAATTATAGTATAGTAGTTGTACGAAATATTATAAACTTTTAAAACACGTTATTTAATTGTTATTATTATTATTTCAATCAATCTTATACAAATTAAAATTATTTTTTTGTTTTCCAAAGAACTTCAAAAGTTACAAGCTCATCTATTTTATATGACTGTATACAACAATATTATTGCCCAACTTTGTTAATCATGCACATAATCATATTATTTTAAACATTTACGCATACAGACTTACATATTATATTATATAATATAACTTTATCGACTATAGTTTAAAGGAACTTATAATATATTCTTTGAACGGCATTTGAACGATAATGTATTATAATATGAGTATATATAGTAGGTGTTCATAACACGTGGCTAACGCCTACAACTATAATAAATTCACACACGTTTTACACATCCATATTATACAATAATAATGAGAATAACGGCGAACCTTTTTAGGTTTCCAGTGAAACAAACATACTTTTTTCGAAAATTATACACTATGTACCTACCCACATAATAATAATTATATATTACTACTTTTTATACAATCGATAATATGATAATAATATTTCGATGCCAAAAATTATCGTTTGTACGCTCAGTAACGTATATAGATATAGTATTGTTTGATACAAGGCGATTCTTTTATCGTGTACACGATAAAAATTTCGAAATGCATAACTTATATCGACTTTTTAGGTATACGAAGGTGAATATTTGTTGCCAAATATTTTTTTTTCGAAAATTTCTGTTCGAAAATGTCGATCGCTTTTTGAAAACATAAAGTTGATACGCGTTTTTGGTTTATAACGTTTGAGAAAATATTGTAAATAAGATAAGAATCTATAACACAAACATTTGTTCATGATAAAATATATTCACAAAACTTGTTTTCGTTTATGTATTTTTGATATTCATATTATATTATTGTTATTATTGTATGCTGACTATTATATTATTTAATTAATTGGGAAAACTAAAAGACGATGCAGATTATTAAAACGATTTATTAAAAAAGTAGGTGCCTATAGGTAGGTAGGTGCTATATTCTGGTCTGCAGACATAAAATAAAATACCTAACCCTGTTTCAGTGATAAATTATCCTTATTAATAAACGGCCGTTATTATAAATATTATACGGAGAGAAAAGTAAAAAAAAAAATAATTTTTTTTTATGCGAAGTATAATTTTGTCATATCCGAGAATAATTTATCACGGTCCACGAAAATAAACGCAAAGGGGAGAACCGTAGAGTTATTATTTAATATTATAATAGATATATAGTCATTAAATATTATACGAGTAGAATTTTAGTGCAAAGTGCATTTTTTTTCGCACAGATACTCTTCTAAAAGTGAAACAACATTATTTTTCCGGTCATTATAATGATCGAAAGATACTTTTACGGCTTGTTAATAGGGTATTCAAATCCGGGACCTAATTATTACATCTAGAACGGAGCTCGAGACAGACTTCGCAAAAATCGCATTTAAATAATTTAATAATAACGTATACGGATCATAATAATAATTGTCTTCATTACAGTCGGTAGCGAGGCTGCGTGCGTTTGATAATTCTCACGTGAATACTGTTATTAATATTTATCGCAAAACCTTTGACGGCCGTTGTACTCATACATATAGATAATATACGAATGAATGGTTCTCACGTGATAAAGTGATGATGGTCATGATGGAAGGTTAGAATGGTCCTCATCGTAATTACTATTACTCGACTTATAAGGTTTTTTTTTAGGGAAATTTGTTTGCATAGCGTAGCGACTTTACTGTTTGTTTGGAGTGGAATAACGCACGGGACGATACATTTTTGTGTTTTCATCAACATTTTTAAGCACATTTTTCATTTAAATTTGAATTAATAAAAACATTTTTACTGCAACATTTTTTTTAAAAAACACTTATTACAAATGTAATTTATTGATAAACCTTGTGTATTATTTTCGAGAATTTTTACCACACCAAAAAAATTGGGTCTACATAAAACCAAATAAAAACTAAAACAAATAACTTGAAAATTTCAATTTGCCAAAATAGTTTAAAAATACCCAAATTTTACTACGATCGAAAAGGACCTAAATAAAATGTATATAATATGTATTCAGTGAAATTTCCTATCTTGACAATTGTTTTACAATGAATTATAAAAAAAAAAAAAGTTATTATGTAAATATTCTGATTTTCCCTGAAAGACTTTCCTCATTATTCAGACAAGGAAAACATTCAAAAAAATCAAAAAACAACCTCATTACACCGAATAGACAAAAATTTCTACAAGGAATTACCCCCAAAGTTGATGATCAGAGAAAGATTTTTGATACAAAAGTTGTTGACATAAAACCGATTTATTGATAATGATTGTTGTTGATTTTCATTTAGTTTTAGAGAAAAACTGTTGGAGATCTAGAAATGTTATTCGTCTGGCGAAAAATTAGCATTTTTTAAAATTCAGTCCGAATTATTTGGAGCATTTTTACCGACGGAAAAAAGTGTTTTCCGAGAAAAAAAATAACAAACTAAAACAACTCATAATCGGTCAAGTGTAATCAGTGTCGTCATTTCCGCTGTCATTTAGATTTCACGTTTATTTTTAGACCAGATAATATTTCACATGGGACAGGGCGTTTCTTTACAGACACCGTGGCGCCGCTGAATACACTTTAACAACCGATACCATAAAGTTATTTACTGCCGAAGTGGTTATTGTAATATTATTACGGTTGGCAGTAGTCAGTACAAAAAATACCTAATTGTATATGCTACAAAAGCGAACGACGTGATGTGAAACAGCAGAATAATATAATATACCCAACTCATTTATATTTGCTTATGAATGCATTGACTCGTCAACTAAGAATACATTGAATTGATTAGGTACCTACTAAATGAAAACGAATTACGAATTGATTTTCGTATTATCAATTACCACTGTGGTAACTATGTTACAGTGTATAATTATTATTCTTTATGGGATGAAAAATAATCGCGATACTTAAAGGAATATGTGGCGTACACAGAAACTCGCCCGGGACGTTTCTTCCCGGTCGTGTTCCGGTACCCACCTCCGAGATAAGTCAAGTTAACACTAACCTAACTAGTAGTATAGAAATAACGCTTAATGGTAACCCTGGAATTCACGTATGTACGTGAATAATTATTTACGTACATAATCTACACACGCACGCACGTTTAATATTATTGTATCCGAACGACACGGAAATATTGAAATCGTATTTTTAGACTTAACCTAGAACAATGTTTCTTTAGACGCGTCGTAAAGCGCGCGCAAAGACCCTGATAATGAGTTGGCGTTGACGAACGTGTCGGCTATGGGGTTGACGTCGGCCTGGACAACGATTACGTTTCTGCCGCCTGCACCGCCGCCGATGGACGGCGGCAGCGGCGGCGGTTGCTGTGGCTGTGGATGTGGCTTGCGGTTGAAATCGTGAAACGGTCTGACCGCCGCGTGCACCGCCGCGGCTCCCACCGATGATGGGCGGCTGACATCTCGTGTGTGGTTACCTGCTGGGGCCGATGGCGGCGGTGGCAATGACGGCAACGGCTGCTGAGGCGGCGGCGGCGGTGACGAGTATCTCCTCCGGCGAGAGATGGCTGCCGTGCCCGCGGTGGCCGGCCACGAATATGACAGCCCTCCTGCAGCGGCGGTGCGCTCGGACGCCGGCGGCCTGAGCGGCGGCTGCGATGATGCCGGCAACAGCGGTGACGTCGTCGTACAGCAGCAGTCGTCGGCGAAAACGGACGAGTTGACCGTGGTGGCCGTGGACGTGGCGTCGTCGCTGCAGCTGCTGCAAGACGTTCGTATCGACGCTATGGGTGCCGCCACCACCGGAGACATCGATGGTTTCTGTTGATGCTTGTTGTGGTGGTGTTGGTGGTGCTGCTGTTGCGATTTCCGGAATGACTCGGACGCGGCCGGCAACAGTTGTTCCGTGTGCCTGGGCATGTCCGAGAAACTCTCTTGGCTGCCACCACTGGGCGACAAGCACGGCGTCGGTTGAATCACCTGCGAATAAAAGATATAAAAGTGAACGTGTTAACAAAAATCTTTTTACAGACCATTGGAGACTGTACTAACGAGAAAGTAACGGGAAACTGTCGAAGAAGGTTTAATAGAAAGCTGTACGGTGTCTATATAAACTGTGGATTGTAAGCAGCGGTGACAAGTTTCTTCAAAAGATAGGAGTGTAATGGTTAAGACCCACCAGTAATGAGAAGGGGAGAAATTTACACTTTCCTAAATGGAAGTGGGAAATGGGTTATGAACTTACGGTATGTTTGTGTATTGTATTTATATATATATATATATATATATATATATATATGTATGTATGTACACGATACATATATCGTGAATTCACGAAGACAGAAACTTGTTATCTTTATAGTGTGTATAATGGACAAAAGATAGGCTAATCAGTTGTTAGTATAGATGTTTCCTCTAAATAAATAAATGTGTACAATTTCGTATAGAGTATAGACTATTCTGCACTGTCATAATCACTTTAGTCATACTTACGAGCTACAAATAATGCATAAAATATAATATGTTTATGTGCCTACGTACATAGTACAGTCATAGTAGTTTCAAAAATGCATATTTTATTAAATATTCCAAAAAATGATACTCCTATAACTAGTCCCCGCTGTATATATATTATTTTGTCTCAGCGGAAATAAATTTAAATATCCCGCATTGAATAATTCACATCCGAATAATATAAATAAACAATCGAATAATAGCTGTATGTAAGTACCGTTTATCCTACGAAATTTTACGAATAGGCAATAGAATAGTATACTTAATTTTTTATTGCAAACCGTTAAAATTGCTGATAGTTAATCATGTTTTAAAAGGCAGTAATATTTACGATTTCCGTCAAAATTTGATATTAAAACGCTTTTAAAAAAAAAAAATGATACACTTAACTTTTATTTTTGACTACTAAATACCTACAATTTATAATGAATCTCCTGTTAAATTTTCAAGAAATTATGTTTGGTCAATTCATTTTATCCACAGAGTACCTACCAAAAAATTACGTAAAAAACTTATAAAATTAAAAAATCTATAGATGTTCCAAAAATAGCACTCAAATATTTTTTTAAAAGTATACATTTTCTAAAAAAGGCAAGTATATGTTTTCTGTTAAAATTTCAAGTATCTAAGAATATTTTTAACTGAATTAGTTATAATAACAACAAAAAAAAAAAAAAAAAAAAAAAATGAGAAATAATTAAAAGTATTATTTTCGTAAATTTTCCAATTATTTCCACTTTTTTTCAGTTTTGTTCAATTATTAAAAAAACTACCTACAGGGAAAATAAAAAAAAAACAACTTTCTTACTTACTAACTAAATTAAAAATTCAACGAAAAATATCTCTTGTTATTTTTTCATTGGAGCAATATTTTTGATAGAAAACATAATCCGTAAAAATTTAAAATAAAGGAATTATAAGACCGTCGTAAATTTATCAGTTTTCATTTTTCGTCTTTTTCCTGTTTTTCCCAATTATTATGAAAACTAATTGGAAAATTTAAAATTACCTCCCCAATGTACCAACTAAATAAAATTTCCTTTCAGAAAAGATGCTACATCGGAGCAAGATGTCTGGTAAAAAGTTTTTCATAAAATACAAAAACACACATCATAGTAAAACAAAAAAATCCCTCGCTACGCTTCAAATCTAAAACACGTGGTTTATTAATACAAAGAAATATTCGACGATTTTAGCATAGAAAAAAACAATTATTAATCGACTTATTTGTATGCTATTATTATTTTCTTCTTCGTATACTGGCCTTAGCAACTCTTTAAGAGTCTTTGCAGTCAATAAAACATTACGTCTCCTATCCCTGACATGCGCTACTTCTCTTCACGTGTCTATTCCCATACATCATAAGTCTTCTTCAACTACATCGATCTGATTGTAGTATGCTTTTCCCAATTGAACCTTTTCAAAATCTAATATTCCCAACTACAGTTTTTCCGAAAAAAAAAAAAAAAAAATTCTCCAATGTGTTGTTTTGTATGATTTCCATTCTAATACTGATCTGACGGTACCACTCTCCACTAATGTGGTAACGTGTCCAAGCCATTGTAGTTTTTGTCCTTTAATTAAACTGATCACTGATGCCACATCAATAATATCACGTAGTTTTTTCTTCTCTTATTATTATATGTGCCTAACTCCGAAATTATTTTTTGAAATTTAAGGTACCTAGTTTATTATAATATAGGTGACAATATGATGAATGCAAAAGGATTTAAGTCTGAATGCGAAATGGCATAAAAGGTAAATATTAAAGGTCTTAATAAATAAACCGTTAAAACTGTTAAAAATAACAAAATAATTCAATAGAATTAAAACACACATTTGTAAAAACAAAAAACGTAGTATAAAATCAGTCCTAAAATTGAATTAAAAAAATCAAAAAGTTACGAATGTTCTTGACTAATAAAATTATAATGATAAACCATTTCTATTCAAACCCGTCCTTATTTATTAGGTATTTTTATTTAGTTACTCCAATTTCAATTCACATTTTGATAATAACTTTTGTTAGGTAATAATTGTAAATGCAAGACAACCAAAAAAATGATTCCAACTTTAAATAGTTTAAACATTTGAGAACGAGATAAGCATAAATCACTGAGCAATGCGCATTTGTTTAACTATACACGACATTTAGTACCTAACGACGTAATATTATAATGTGATAAAAGTTTGTTTTCGTTCACTCGACAGAGCAGTAAGTCCTATTATTGAAAATAATAATGTTATCAAAATGAGCAATCACATTCCTTTAAGATAATAATCAATGTAATATTTTCTTAATAATTTTAACGCGTATTTATTATTTTATTTTAGTATATTAATTCGATTTTATTCGTGGGCAATTTTTCTTTTTCAAAATTCATTTAAGTTGTTTTTACTGATAAAAAAAAGGTTTCAGTTCAAAAACGGGTTTTTTCCGTGTTAGAATGCTGCTAGGATTTCTCCAGCTTAATCTTCTTTTTTTTCTTTTCTTTTTTTTTTTTAGTTTAGGTACACCATAATTGCTATTGCACAAATTCACACAAATTCCAGATTAATTAATTACAAAATTCAACAATCGCATTAGGAAAGGGGAAAGCTGGCTTCATATATTGCTTCTAATTAAAATTTAAAATTTAAAACAATCATCTTATTATACATACAAAAAATGAAAAAAAAAATATATCTGTTTTATTAGGTTTTGTTATGGTTTTATATTATATTTAGAATATTTAAGAGCATGTATAAGTTTTAAGAATGAATTTCAGTATAAGATATTTGACGTATATAAATTATACCAATTAGGATGTGTTGCACGCAATATTTACAAAATTAAGTCATTAAGAATAAAAAGTATGTATCCTTTTTCAAAAATGACAAATGTTTAAAAAAAAAAAAAATGTTTGGTACCATCAATGAAAATATATTACTTTAACACTATAATAAATTATTATTAATTAACTATCGAACAAATATCAAACAATTATTACTATTATAGATTATAATAGAAGTATACTATTGTATATCGGTTTAATTCATTAAGTATATTCATTTTTTTGTTTTCAAATGCACTGTTCAATTTTAATAACGTTTACAATTGTTTACTAATAATATAATAATATAGGGGTCTACTTTCATTGATTAAGAATCTATCTAATTTTATAATATGTACTGGAATTAAGGTTTATTATTTTATTAAATTATTCATATTGTATAAATGTTTTATGATTGTAATATTATTGGTATACAACACACGATGTCGTGATAATGTGCCGTTATAAATTATTTCGAATATTACGACTTATAATGTATTTGATTTAAACACAGCATCGTAAAAGTAAATATCTTATGACGATCAATAAACAACTTTTAAATAGAATTAATTATTTCTACCTATACAATGATAATATATTAAATGATGAAATTTTGATAAATATTACCTATATCTATATTGTTATTGGTGAGATAAAGAATATTATAATATTATGAAACATAATAATCTATAGTTGTGTATGTTTTGTGTTAGTAAATAGTAAATTGAAGACATTAGATAAATACTACGTTATGTAATTATTTACATAATGTGTTGTATACTTAGGTATTACTATGATTTTTTTCTCAGAAGTGATATGTTATATTCTTCTCTAAAAAATGTAACATTGATTTAGTTGACTTTTCCCCAAAATTAGATACCATTGCACTGTATTATATGATTGTATCTGTTATATACATAATACATATACGTATATATCTTTTTTCGCTACTTTTTCGGACACTTTTAACGGCTCCCTCTGGACAAAATGAATTCAAAGAATTATAGCTATTTTATAGGCGGATTGATGTAATAAAAATTTTAGTTGAAATTCAATATGAATTTTGCTATAATGTTGTTGCAGGAGGAAGGTATATTTAAGCTTTTTACATCCCTCAGATCCCCAATTTAGGACAAGGGTAGCATGGTATATGTATCAAGGATGTTCCTTTAGGAGACACATCCTTTAAACTTTCAACCCTATTTTTATGCTCGAATTTCATGTTTTTATAAGAAATATCGGATTTAAAATACCCCATACAGGCTAAAATGTAATAAAATTGGCAATCATTATTATTTTAGACCAATTATAAAAAAAAAGAAATACATATTGTAATGGTGAAAAGTCTGCTGGCAAAAAGTTCTACTATAGTGATGAAGTAGGGAGTTCTATTGCTTAGGCGTGTTTTTTTTTCTAAAGACATTTGTATTTCTTTAATATTATATTTAAAAACAAACATAGAATGTATGAATAGAAAGAGTATAAATGCGTCCTATAATACATTTTGGAATTGAATTACTAAATTATTCAAAGGTTCAAATAATATCTTGCGTAAACTGGTTTTTCATAGAATATTATTATGATTATTAAAAAAAAAAAAAAAGATGTTTAAAAAATTAGCTAAGTAAACTATAACGAATATATTAAATAATATAATTATAACAGTTTGGTCGGGGGATGCTAACTTATCTACTAACTTGTATGTCAATGGGATAGTAGAACTCCCACGGTGGGTCCCCGGCGGGTAGTGGGTGATTCAATGGAGATGGTGGGTGTCCAATGATCAACGATGATCCTCTAGCTTCCAAGTAACTCGTATCGTTGCTACTGACCGTTATAGCGCTATTTCCTCTTGGTATCCATTTTCTGTCACCAGGTACTTCGAGCCATTTAGCCACACGGTAACCGTTGTTGCCGCACATATCCTCCATATCGTCGTCTTCGTTCTAGAATTAATTAATACAAAATAAATGTTGTTATGCTGCAAAAAAAAGAGCTGATACTGGTGATGATGGGTGCACCTGTTTTAGGTGGGCAATTAAGAAGGTAGATACATAGACTAGAGTTATTTTATTTATATCAGATATCTGTACGCAGTGATAAATTATTACTAATCAAATAAGATTCTGAACGAAGTTCGATTACACATGTTTTGAATTGCCATAATTTTTACGATTTTCGTCAAAATTTGAACTAAAAAGGCTTATTAAAAAAAAAAGGAAAAACTACTACATGTATTCAATTTTTTTTTATATAAAATATGACTTTCAATGAACCCTGTACAAAATTTTGAAGTATACGAACTTGACCGAATCAACTTTATCCACAAAAATCTAAATAAGAACTAATGAAACTCGAAATTGTCAAATTCCTATAAATAACTAAGAATAGGAAGCTAGAATGTTTTGAAAACTTTACCACGTCTAGAAAAGATGAATATTAGTATTATATGAAAATTATAATTTTCTAAAATTATTTTAAACCAAATTACAATAATAACCAAAATTGAACTGAGGTTTTCGTAATCTTTCTCATTTTTCCTTCGATTTTTCTTGGTTTTGTACAATTATTAAAAAAATTACAATATTTTCTTACGCACTAACTAAACAAAGTTTACTTCTAGAAAATGTGATTCACTATTGAATTTCAGTGCAAATTTTGTTACCATAATTCTACCGAAAAATTAAATAGAAAAATAATATAAAATAATGAAATCGTTAACGGCACGTTAGTAATTATGTTTAATCGTTTTTCTTTTAAGTTTTTTTTCCGGTTTTCCTAAATTATTATATAAACCACTTGGAAAAACAAAAAATTATACATTTATTCACCACCAAGATACAATTTTTTCTCTTACAAAATAATAATCATAATTTTATGATATTAAATTATATTATAGTAGGTTATTATATCGGTATACTAAAAAATATTGAAAATAAAAATATTTCAAAATAACACGAAGTTCAACGAGATAAATACACTAAACTATTTTATGAAAATGAATAATGAGTAACATATTACAATATTAACACACGTATTGTGTGTCATAAACATAAAAAATATTTCATGAGGATTCATTTTTATTTGAGGTTGTCTAGAATCTCAACTTATCGAAACACTAAAATACATATAATTTACTTTAACACTACTGCTATGTATATTGTTCGTATTATATTTGAAGAAGTATACGTTTGAAAGAATTCGAGGTTTAATGATATTAAATCCACTGTAATATTATATCATGTTTCAATATAGATTTGTACACGTCAAACGGACATAATACAATATTTATTCAGTTTACATATTCGTATAGTTAAATATAAGTATACACTAGGTAGGTAGTCTTCAAAAACTATGTTAAGTATTACGTTTTTTCGGATTTAATTTTAATGTGCATGGTTGGGTCAATCTAAAAGTTCAAACTCTTTATTCATTATTTTTAATTCTATATGACAATTATTCAATTTTTAATGTGCACTCGCAGGATAAATATACTTGTAAGAAGCAAATTTTGCCACACGACATTATATTTTGACTGTGAATCTATACAAATCGATTAGTTTTTGCGTTTAACAAATAATTCTAAGCAAAATTCCAATTTCAAATATATATATCTAAAGTAAATATTTATCTAGTTGGTGAATAAGAATGTTTTTTTTTTGATTTTCGAGCAATTTTCAAAATAATTGGAAAAAACCGAAAAATGTTAGAAGAAAGACTAACTTATTTATGGCGTTATTATTTTCAATTTTTTTGATTTGGTTTTTCTGCAAAAATCTTGAATTGAAATTCAAGTGTAGCATGTTTTTGAAAGAAAGCTTTGTATTATGAGCCAGACATAATCAAGACAAAATGAGAAAGTTTACGTTTTTTTCCGTAAACTTTTCCGCAATAAACCTTACGTAACTAACCCTTAACAATTTCAATGTTTTAAATTTTATAATTCGGTTAAACATAATTGTACAGACTTGACATTTACACAAAATATTTACACAATACTTTTCTAGATGTGGTAAAATATTCAAAATACTTTGGCGATTTTTAAGACATTTATAGGCATTAGTTATTTTCAATATTTTAGTCTTTATTTAGTAAGTATTACGTGAATAATATTGTTTATCCTAGTAAAAATGCTAAAACATTTTACATAAGATACATTATAAGTTTTACTTGGTGTTAAAAAAAAAGCTGGCCGTAATGCAGACTAGTTTTTTACAAGCAATGGTTTATCGTTACTTGCAGATTAAATTGAATACATTTTTGTATCCTGCCTTCCTAACTTCTAACCTATACATCAATGATACATCTGGCCTCAGTATCAGCTTTTTATTTAATTAAACAACTACTGCATTGACTTCGAATTTCATTTCTTTTGAAAAAATTAAAAATTAACCTTTTTAAATGACATATTAAGTTTGAATATTCAAAAACGGAGTTCAATTTGAACTGTTGAAATCATCGAATCGGACTACGAGGCATGCGTTTTTTCCATAATGCATGTTTTTATTAGCCAAAAAGGCGTTTGCAACCCCCTTAACATTCTGTTGAATGATATTTATTTAGTTGCCTAACCATTTTTCTAATTAATTAAGATGGTTCAGAACATGTTTAACGTTTGATAAATTCGTGTGTTCTTTTTAAATCTTTTAGAATAGTAAAATATAAATGTATATTGTATATAGTAGTAGGTACTTAATACTTGTATACAGCAAACGAAATCGATAAAATTATATACTACATAGTGTATTATATGACTTATAGTATACTATAAAATGTATTATTGTGGAAGATCGATTACTTAAGTGGTGGTGATCATAGATATAGATGCTGTGCCTGTCATGCGACCAACATGGACTAATAGGGTTAAAACTCTTCCAAGATTACATTTCTTTGTTTCGAGATTTTCGTCTCATATAATACATATAGAAAATTATAGAAAACCACCATATTATATGTTTTGAGTGTTTTCACCACAATGTGCTAATACTATTACAGGCCTAAACCCTATGCGGTATTTTATAAAATGTTAAGTACATAGTATTTATTTTACGAATTTGTTATGTTTAGGAGTAAGTATTGTTATTATAATAAATGTTTTATTAATTTATTATTATTATTTTAATATTTTAAGTAATAATAGATAATAATGAATAAAATCGTAGGATAAAATCGGATAATATAACTTCTAAAGTCTTAAAATGTATGTATTAAGACATATAGCACACTCAATTATCAGTTTAAAAGACAAAGTAACAACAATATAATAATAATAATGAAAACTACTAAGTTCGTTTAATACTAAAACCGATGTGACACATCACAGTATTACCTAATCCAGATTTATTTTTAAAAGTATGTAATTACAGAAATATGAGTAGATACTATAGATAGGATGCAGGTACTATATTGATTCTAAAACTGAAATTCGTACGTTTAAAGTGTCTACTAAAAGGCGAAACAAAATCCTTTGGTGAATAGTATAAAACAACGTTATGGTGCGCATTAATTTTATAGTCGAACAACAACTTAAGGCATATACATAGAAGGATGGCGATCAGTTAATCAAACCAAAGATATTTTTTTTGTTAGTTTTTAACGACGCGAAAAAAGTTTTTTCAACAAAAGGTCAGGTTGTTTTTTATTTATTTTTTTTCGAAGTTTAGGGTACATAAACGGTTGCATGCCCCTCTCAATTCACAAACAACGAATAAAAATATTTTATTTTTGAAGCTATTACAATTTACTAAATAAATATTTTTCGAATTTTAGACTTAAATTATACATTTAACAAAGTAAAGTTTATATTTTTATTGGGTTGTACTCGAGACCCAGAAATATTTCTCGGGGAGGGGGGGGATTACCATAGATTCTCTTTTGTAAACCCATAAAATAAGAATTTTAAATTTCAAATAAGGATTTGTAATAAAAATAAAGATAATAAAAATAAAAATTGTTTATTTAAAATTTAAATCGTGTCCCATGATTTAAATAATTGAATGTTCGTATAACGTATGTATAGAGCACAGCCTCATTCCCTCCCCCCTTTGAGAAGCTTTGGTTTGTAATATATTATGGTAAAACACAATTGAATTATTTTGTTATTACATGTCATTTTATACAAGAATTGACATTTTACACAGCAAACTATCAATCAATCGATTATATTTTATAATATTATATTATCAATTCAAATTTGCATGAACTTTAGATTGTACAAATATATTTATTTCCTTTTTCTACGCAAGTATACGTGTATATTATGATTGATTATCTATATAGGTAGGTATTTACTATTTAATATTATTACTTCACATTTTCACATGATTATTTCATAAAATATTATATTTATTATAAAAGTGCCTGCATTAAAAAATAATATTTGTAACAAATATTTTATAGAAGCTGATATTAAAAAGAGTAACAAAGGTTTAAGTATCATAAACAATTTCATTAATAATATATTAATATCGAGATTTTTGTATGAATTACACTGAAGAATCATCGAATTATTAAATTACATATTTTTTTATTAAGATTATTTATTTTAATTATCTGAAAATACTGCAGGTTAAATAAAAGATAATTGTTTGGTTTTGGTTTATTTTTAAATTCAAAAAATTAAGTTTGTACATAAATTAAAAAGAGCTTATACTGAAGATAAGTGTGTCACCGTTGCAGACTGGAAGTTAGGAAGATAGGATACATAAAGTTAGTCAATTTAAATTTATATGCACGTGGCGATAGACAACAAAAACCGCATTTTGAAATACTGTAATTTTTAAAATTTTTGTCAGAATTGAAAAAAAAAACAATTACTAAGCTACGCTCAACTTTTGTTTTTACCGCTAAGTTAAACTCATAATAAACCTCGTATTATATTTTTAAATATTTCTGTTTGGCTCAATTATTCTAACAACAATACTCGTATTATTGAATATATTAAATTCAAATTAAACCGTAATATCAGATTGTAATTGATGTAAACAGATATCAATAGACAGTAAACATTCATTAGTAGCTAAACAATAAATAAAGCCCCTTCTAATTCATACTGATAATAAAATATTTACACGTAGTAGATAACTGTAGGTATGCAATTAATAAAATTGATTATTTGTAGAAAATAAGTTCGATATGGCTAGTTATTTTTTACAAAAATAAAAAATGAATATACGAATACATCTATTTATTAAATTAAACACAAGTTTCATAAAATAATAGGTATGATTTTATGTTTTGTATTATTTTGTAAAGTTGCTAATAAATAGCGTTATATTAATTATTATAGTTGTTTATTCGTATTCATGAACACAAATGTTTAATGTTATGCGTTTTACTAAAAATATAGAGGATGCATTATCTAAACATGTGTGTTTTTATTTATTATCTAAGACGATAAAAGATTAAATAAGAGCTGGAATCTATCGGAAAAATGTTAACTACGTTACGTAAATATTTTGATTATGTAATATAATAGTACGATCGAACATAGTACTATCCTTTTATTATCAGAGTCCAAGCCAGATAGATTTAAATGAATCAAATTCAAATTTAAGAAAGAAATAGAAATAGACGTAAAATTGACATCGTGGTTAATTTGATTGTATTATTATGAAAAACACGTTTTTCATTTTGGTTATTTCTTATTAGTTATTAGTTATTACTTATTATAGTTTTTGTTTTTATGCTCCTGTAATATATTTTAACATTTTTGTTTTATTTAGTCTTGAACCAAAAAAATATTGGATCAATTTGTTTAAAATGAAAATATATGAATTGATACTAATTTTTTTTTAAATTTATAATATAATTATATATTACTTGTAATAATATATTTGGCTTTAAACTTATTTATACGGCTAAAATGTTATCCTATTCTGTACGACTCTGGAACAATGATCAGCAAGGCAGCAACCAAAAATGTACTCTAATGATAATAGTATTTTTATTGTTTTATGAAAAATATAAGGATTACCTTTTATTCGAATGAATTTTTCTCTACAAAGTTTTATTCTACCTACTGTTTAAAGATATACCATAATTTTGAATTTAAGATGTGCATAAGAACAGTAAATAAGTTTATTAAAGATAAATCCTATAGCATCCCTTTATGTTGGATCTTTAGGCATTGATTTTTCTTTTTTTTGCGAACGTTAACATTAACGATCAAGACATTATTGTTTAGTTTGTATTATTTTTTTTACATATTTTTTCACATAAAACAAACGATTTTAATCGTTATAAACCATATAACAAACAATACTAAATGTAAAATACATACCTCTTCGAAAGAATATTCTAGTACCGATGATTTTATAAATTTGTTGCTGGTTTGAGATAAAGCCGTATACGGATGATATTGAGTGTCGGAAAGATAGTTTTTAGACTTTCGATTCCAATTATTACACTCGGCAACACTGTTCTCAGTCATACTGTATCCTGCAGTAGATAAAATAAACCGAATAAAATATTTAACAGGTACCTATGTATAGAGTGTTTAACAGGTCAATAAAAACAAGTATATCTTACTCGGAGAACATCTACAGAGACCGTGACCAGAGCAATAGCTAGAACTGGAACTTCTTTTGGCCAACGCAGCTAACTGTTCTTCTTGGTCAACAGCCGCTTTGATAACTGCTTCGAGATGCTGATCGGAAAGCGATCGAGTTTTGCATTTACTTTTGTATAACACTAAAAGGACCATCATTAAAAAAAATCCTCCTAAAGTGGACGCGATCCTAATCTAAAAAAATTAAATATCACACAAGTAAGTATAAGTATATCAATATTATTATGTATAACACATTTATAGTTTTTAAATTCCTTACTCCAGTCATCACATCGTAAGTATTGTAAAATTCGGTTCTAATCATTTGTCTTTTAATCATGATGTCTGATTCAGTGGCATTGATGTAGTTATCGGCGCTATCTCCCATCGCTTGGGGGCTGTACCCCACACTGACATACAATAATTACGCTCATGTCATTCCTATTGACGTCTCTGTAAAAAAAAAAAAATACAAAACGATTTTTATTAATATATATATTTGCTAGACTAATTTAACTTTAAATTATAAGTGAAGCAAAGAATATATTGGTGTTACTTTGTTTTTTTTTTTTTTTTATACCGGAAATCTTGCTTCAGTAGAAAATTTCATAGGAATTTTCATCTAGCATTTTTAACCTATACCTTGGTTGAACTAAGGTTATTTTTTGATTTTTAAATAGTTTAACTAATGATAAAAACTGGCAATTTGTTGGGTATAATTAAAAAACACGACTAGGTATCTATTAATACTATGCTCAGAATCTTTATCCAATAGTAATGGTTTATCATTAGGCACGTAAAGATATAAATTAAATTGCTCTACATGTCATCCCTTTCGACTTCCCTCCTAAATCAGTACAACACATATCAACAATATCAACTTTTCCTTTTTTAAATTTATTTCTGCGCGAACTAGTAGGCAGTTTTAACATTTTATGCGTATACACTATCATTAGTTTAAGAAATGTCCCGTAGCATTTTATCGAAACTTTTAACAAATTATCAGCTGATTACTTTGCCATGGCACTAAGTCTTTAATCCTTTTAAAATATAAATGTAAAAAGAGATCGTAAAAAGAAATATCATGATTCGCGAATGCCATTGGTATCTATCACAAGTTTTGTTTAGCCTCAATTTATAACATTATCACATTGTGGCGTATAATAGCGGGGTGTCGAGGAAGTTCTATCATTATTATTTATTTTTTCGACTTATACCAAACACAATAGCGTTAAACTAATTTGTTTTAATTAAAATTAGAATTTTTTTTTTTCGTAAATGTATACCTGTACTTAAGATGCTTAACTGTACATAATTATTTAATTGAATATTACATATCCCAGTATTTTGCATGGTAACCGAAAAATCTATTTTATATAGAAAAAAAATGTAATTCAATGTCGACAGTTTGAATGTTACAAGTAATATTACGCAACAAGTAATTTCAAATATGTAAAAAAAAAAAAACAATAAATTATCTTCGATAAATTTTAGATCGAATACAAACTGCGTGATTGATTAAACCTTAAATCGTATATAGAAATCGTTTCATAATATTCAAAAACCATTAAATCATATATAATAAATTTAAATTATTAAAAGAAACCCATTTTTTTTTTAAATAGGTATATAAACAAATTGCAATTATGTAATTTGTATAAAAGAATTTCAGCACAAAGGTCTATCAAGTGAGAATCTATTGTGTACACCTTATTATTATAAAGCAAAACCGCTCTCTACATTTGTATTATGAGTATACTATTATTTCAAATGTACTCATACATGTAACACATATATTATTAGGAAAATAAAATTACGTACTTGACATAAAAATAATTTCTTTTTCTTAGCGCCATTGAACATTATTATAATACTTACCTAATATATTCTATAGTGCTGTAACAACGTATGATGTTGTTTCAATCGTTTAATTTAACATTTGAAATTAAAAAACTTATTAAAACTTACTAAATTTTTGTTAACCAAAAATAATACTTACAATTTAAAAAATTAAAAATTAAACTAAACATTTTAAAAATACTTATAATATTAATTTAATAACAATACTTATTTTATGTTTTCGTAATTCGTATTAGGTAAACTATACCACAGCCAACAGCTGTCACCGAAAAAATGTAACAAGTATGAGTACTCGTGATAAATGGGACAAAGATTTATAAAGGCACACAAATTACAACAAATGTTACACTAGCATCATTTAATAATATTATACTTTTCATTAGACATTAAATCTATAATATTCTTTAGTAAGTAGGTATGCAATTACAATACAGCTGTGGTGCAATAGTGCCTAATAACATAAAATGCGGCGGAATCAGTTTCCAATGACAAATTTTTTCCCCCATATAAACGGAATTTAAAACGTTCATTTTTCATTGTAGTTTGTAACTGTTTGTAGTGCAGTAATTAAATATTGTATTCCTTTTTTATCATTTTTCAAATTTAAAACGTTGGTTTACTCTTTTTGTTTCCGTATTGAACTATACTATTTAAATATTATAATTATTATTCAATAACCATTCAAAATACGAGGTGTGGCTATTAAAAAACGAGACTGGTTACGAAAAAGTGTTTTATTATAAAAATTATTCTACATTCAAATGCTCCCCTTCAATATACTCCCCTCCCCTCGCCACACACCTTTCCATACGTTTTTTCCATTGATCAAAGCAGTGCTGGAAGTCTTCTTTGGTGAGGGCCTTTAGGAGCTCTGCCGTTTTTTGGTTTACCGCTTCCATCGACTCAAATCGGGCCCCTTTCAAAGCAGATTTTATCTTTGGAAACAAAAAAAAGTCACATGGTGCCAAATCTGGTGAATACGGCGCGTGTTCGAGCACTGGAGTGCGCTTACCGGCCAAATACTGTTTCATAGATAGCGCGTTATGGGCAGGTGCGTTGTCCTGGTGCAAAATCCACGAGTTGTTCTTCCACAACTCGGGCCGTTTCTTACGAACTCTTTCTCGCAGTGTTGCCAAAACTGATAAATAGTAAATCTGGTTGACAGTCTGACCCTCTGGAACCCATTCAGTCATCACGATACCGTTAATGTCAAAAAAAACGATCAACATTGCCTTAAATTTTGATTTGGACATCCTTGCTTTTTTGATTCTGGGCGATTCAGGTGTCTTCCAATGCATCGATTGTCGCTTTGTTTCAACATCGTATTGAAAAATCCATGTTTCGTCGCAAGTTATAATGTTTTTCATCAGTCCGGGATCTTCTTTTAACTTTTCAAGGAAATCTGAGCAGACCTGTTGACGCAAGAACTTTTGGTCAGGAGTCAGGTTTTTTGGCACCAACTTCGCATAGACTTTTGTCATATGTAATTCCTCATGTAAAATTTTTCTAACCGTTTCTTTATTGGCATATACAGCCTCAGCAATCATCCGGATGCTCATTCGACGATCTGCACGCACAATTTGGTTGATTTTGGTCACTGTTTCCGGAGTTGAAACAGTGACAGGGCGACCTGGGCGCTGGTCATCTTCAGTGCTCTCTCGGCCCTCACTGAAGCACTTATACCACTCAAAAACACGTGCATGAGATAGAGAATTGCCTCCATAGGCCTCTTGCAACAATTTATAGCACTCGGTCGGAGTTTTTTTCAATTTAACGAGAAATTTGAGATTGATACGTTGCTCCTGTTTTTCGTCACGAGAAAAAAACACGTTCGTTTTAAACCACTACTGCACAAATACTATAATAGTGACGAAAACGTGTTTTGGTACGTGCATAGATAAGATATCTAGATACCAAACGCATTTCTCGTTTTTTTCACTACCCATCTAGGGCAACCTCTAGGCGAACAGTCTCGTTATTTAATAGCCACACCTCGTATATTATATATTTTATAAAGCTATAATTATAATTTTATAATATTTATATTTTATCATAAATAAATTAATATTATCCAATTTATACATTTTTTTAGTACAAATTAACCACCTTGAAAATAAATTATAAGTTATATAAATTTATAAACTGACCACCTTGACCTGTAGAAATGTAAAATTATAAATAATACTTTTTTCCCCATATCATAAATGTATGTGATTTTTTTTATTATTTTGAAGCAATAGTTCTTTTGGTTATACTACGATGTGTATTTTTTTTCATCGAAATAACCTTCGAACAGAAAACAGAAAACTTACTCCAATTGAAAAATTATAAAATAATCTGTTTGTTTCCTTTTTTCTTAGATCCGGTCGGTGCATTCAAAAAAATCATTTTTTGATTTTTCAAGCAGTTTTCATAAAAAATTAAATAACTTAACGTATCCTACCTTCCCAACTGCTTTTTTTTTTTCATTTCGATTATTGTAAGGTATAGATATAATATATTTCGTTATAGACATTAATTTTCGTTTAATCCGTTCAACCGTAATAATTTTATTCAACAAATTCAAAGCCCCGCATACGGCTGCGTATATTTCTAGGTACGTATACGTAAATATATATTATAATACACCTACATTAATATTCGTATGAAACGCAGTCGGGCGGATTATGCGACGAAGGCGCTCGCAAATTTATTATTATGTGTAGCAGCAGAAATGTCTAACGTGTATAATCATTTTATGTGCATATACCCTATACGTAATATTAAGAAACAAGTCCGGACCAGTGGCGTATAAATGATTTTTGGAAGAGGGGAGATCAAAGAGACAGCCAAAAAGGAAAGAGGAGGTGGTAACCGCAGTGTAAAGGAAGAAGAGGAGATATCCTCAGGGATTATTTTGGAAAATTGTTCCAGATCAACAATTTTTTTTTTTATAAAATATGATATGATGACAGAATGCTTTCATTTCTTTTTTATTAAACATTGATCATATAGTTTAGGCAATTAAGTATAGTTTTGAGACACCAGAAAAGGTTTATATGAATAATAAAATAATAAAGTAAAAACAAAATTATTAAAATGGTCAGTACTCATAAATAAAGTACTTTTAAATAAATACATTAATAAACAATTTATATATAAAAATAAAATAAATAAATGAATACGTCGCCCGGAATATTATGATAAGTGTATTATACGACCGGTTTCGTATCAAAAATCCATCATTAGGTATATCACAGTCAAAATGTAAAACGCGACTTACATTTCTATATTTAGTTTATATGAGACAAACTCATGGCTGAACCTAACCAATAACCTTATATAGTATAATTTATAATGGTGAGTTTTTGATTTCAAATATCAAAAATCGTGTATCGCGGTATTTAACAATACATGAATGCCGCGAACTATAATAATAGTGTTTAAGCGTTTTGTTTTATATCGATATCTTTAACGAAAATTCGATGTACCCGTTTATATCTTTACGATAAATAATAAAAAGGCGATGGGAAGGGGGGAAGCGCCGAACTTGCATATCCCTTCCTCGCCCTTCGGTGTATATACGTCCCTGGCCCCGACGACATTTTCTGAAAACTGTCCGTGATAGCTGCGGCGGTGGGTGGCGTTTTCTAAAATACCTAACAAATAAAATATATAGGGCATCCCCACTGCATTTTCACAATATTGATCTTTCCGGTAAAAAGGCTCACCGGCGACCCAACTTCATTCGAATACTGCGGGTACTTCATCACTTCCGCGCACTTGCAGCCTTTTCCACGCTACCGCCGCCGTCCGGCCGACACAATTATGTGACACACGCAGGGCACTGCAGCAGCAATCTCGGCGGCATCCGGAACACGGCGGAGGCAGCGGCGGCCTCCGGACGTTTAATAAACGTCAACTGACAAACGTAATTTATCAGACTGAAAATGTCGGATGTTTAACGCCCCTGAACGCGGTTATCTGCGGTACATGCATGGTCAGGGCGAAGGCAGTAAACCTACATAATACATATATATGCCGTAACTATACCATAGGGCATATAATACGGGTATTAACTTCTGATAATTTTTACGGCGACAAAGTAAATGGACGTTTCTGAACTTAATAATAACTATTACCCATCATATTAATATATATATGTTACGGTGAATGTTGCGAAATCGGTTAATTTCGTTATAATTACACTTAAACCTATTTTGTGCTGTTCGTTTTAATATTGGAGTGTATTGGCCTATTAACTAACTTACGGATAAGCTATTTATGTATGTTCGTAGATTTTTTCTCGATATCTTAATTTTCAATCCAGATTCGACGATTTTTAAATTGTAATATTTCAAATGTTTTTAACTCACTCGAAAATTAAACCACCGAGAAAAAACCGACAATGTTCTTGCCTTTAAGTTTGATAATAGGCTTATACATTCTAGTATTAAAACTAACACCACAAAATCGGTTTTTATATCCAAAAAGTATAAATATAACATTAATTAACATAATTAACATAATTAACACAATATAACATTAACCGATTTTACAACATTAACCATAACATATATATGTATACGATTATTATTATAATGCGTTTTTTTAAATGCATCAAAACGAACGCCCAAAATAAAGACTTTTATAAATTATAATTAAATTTTTTTATATTGTTGCTCTAAAATTGACACGCAAATAATAATGACAATGTAATGTAGGCACTACACGCACATTTACACCAAAAGTATTTAATTTTTTACATTATTATTATACAATTCGAAAATGGTAATATATTTGATATTATTGTGTTCTATTCTTATAAACCATTATACATTTCCACTCGACATAAATTATATAGGTACATAAATTTATAAATACATGTATAACTCGAACCAATTTCGGTGAAAAAAATGCTATCGATACAGGTGTTATTTCATTAAATATTAACCCTAATCTGAATTGCATAATAAATACAGTTATAAAAAGTTTTTACAGTTTATACAGTCTGAAATTGAATAATGCTTAACGTTGTAAGTTATTAATAAAATAATACTTAATTATTCGTTTTTTTTTCAATTACATATTAATTAAAATTTTCTTTTAGTATGTAAATAATATTGTTTTAGCTACACATTATGAATATGCTAAATCCAACCATCTCATCACTACACAGTATATAAAAAAAAAATGTTTTTTTCTTTCTTTCTGTTTGTTGTTTTGACAACAAATAAATAATTATAATTACATTTAAGTGTTAATTATTGTCATCTAGATAATAAATAGCGATGTATTATCAATTAATATATTATATTAAAAAAAACCATAAAACGTTTTAAAATTGTAATAGTTATTAATTATTATAGATAAATACGATAAATAAATAATCTAAAATTTAAAAAAAACATACATATTATGTATTCTAAATAGAAATAAAGTAAATGTGTAGACCTATATAAAATAGCTTACATTACCTAGTTTTGCCTTTAGCATAGAGTTTAGCCTATTTAATAATATTGTCTATAAATTACAGATTAGCGTCAAAGACTAGAATATTGTATACTATATTAATAATGATTATTACTGCAGTACTCGTATCACCATTTACCATATGATTCACGTTCGTAAACATAATTCTATTCCACATACATTTACACAGGACATAATTTTGAATTAATACTTTTAGGAAATTAAGTACACATTTTCGAAATACCTAAATATTGCAGCTAATGGTTTTATAAGCAATAATAGTATCAATAATTAGTATTGTTGTGTTTTCATGTATAAGCTAAATATTTAATCCCATTTAGTTGAACGACTTATATAGTGGTTTTTTGTGTAGGCTCAGTTATTAGTTCGACATTTCAAACATACCGTAATTACAAAATACAGTATATATAATGCATATATAATTAAACATCCGCATCAGAATTAATATCTTATATTATACGGTAGTTCGGTTTACTTCAACCAGGTCAACTGACGTTAGTGAATTGAGACATATTGTGATTTTCAACTAAATATTTTTTCTTCCATTTTGTTAAAACAGTAAAATTATTGTATAATAATATAATAAATCATATTTAATAGTTAAATAACTTTGATACCTAAACACATAAATTCATTGCATAATAATCAATATTACCATTACCTAGGTACCTAAAATGTAAAATAATTTAATAAAAATGAATCTGTTGAGAAATTGTAATTTCTTCCTTGATTTGATTATATAAATGTTGTTTTATCCGTAAATAAATTATTATTAAAATAGTAGAAATGGTGATAAATTGTTTAAAATTAAATTTTTCCAAATAATAGATGGTAGTCAATACGGATGATTTGTTTAAAATAGTTTATCGGTACCTATTATATTTAATACGTATACGAGATTTATTTAAGAAAGGAAACATAGAAGATGTGATCAATGTTCACCAATAAAACTGAAAACGTAAGAATTTTCACAAGAATTATTATGTTTATACTGTTTGCGATCAAGTGTTATTCGTATCAAATGTATATTTTATAGTTTATTGGAAATGGGCAAAAACATCTCTCTCTATTCATCATGATCATTATC